ATATATATTATAAATTAATTGATTTAAAATATGGTTATTTTCGCTACACAGTTCCAACCATGTTTCAAAAATAGAAGCTAAAAACCCCTAATTTTATTTTTGCAAATAAATTAAAAGCATTAGTTCTATTTCATCTTCAAGCGAATTAGAAACTCAACGAACTTCAAAATAGATAGAATTAGAAAGTTATTATATAACGAATTTAAAAGCATGGGCTTAAAAATTACAGTTAGTACTAAATTAAAAAAAGTAGACTTCCTAGATATAACTTTAGATCTAAATAAAAATACATACACACCTTTATAAAAACCCAACACCAATCCTTTATATATACATCCTAAATCAAATCACCCCCATCTATAATTAAACATATACCGTTATCTATAAGTAAACGAATTAGTACAAATTCAGCTAATAACAAGATTTTTGATGAGCATATCAATGGCTATAATAAGGCTCTAAAAGATAGTGGCTACAAAAACCCAAAACTAGCGTATATAAAAAAATGAAAATGGAAAACATAGAAAAACAGATGTAGAAAAATTATTTGGTATACTCCCCATATAACCAAATGGTAAAGAACAGATTAGGACATAAATTCCTCACATTAATAGTCAAGCATTTCCCTTGTGAAAATAAACTAAGTACTATTTTCAATAAAAAACACACTAAAATTAAGTTATAGCTGTACAAAAGAACTTAGAAAAATCATTAAGAACCATAATGCTAATATCTTAAATAAACACTTATACCAAAACCAAAAAATTTAGACAATAGAAAAATTAAGATAAAAACTGATGTAAATAAACAAAAACTATGTAATTGTCGAAACCCTCAAAATTGCCCACTACAAAATAAATGTTGCACTGAATCATTAGTATACCAATGCAATATCTCTTCGATTGAAAATCCTGATAACATAAAAATATATATAGGTTGCACTAGCCATGAATTCAAAAAGATTCAACCAACATCAAACTTCATTTAGAATAAATAAATATAAAAATCAAACATCTCTCTCAAAATATTTCTGGCATCTAAAAGAATCAAATAAAACACCTACAGTAAAATGGAAGTTAATAAGAAGAGCTAGAATTTGTAGATCATTAAACGACCCGTGTCCTCTATGTATACAAGAGAAACTATATATTACTAAGTTTATAAAAAATAAAAATTTACTGAATCAGAGAAATGAAATAGCTATTATATGCCGTCATTGTCAAAATTTTCCTTAAATAATATATAAAAAAAAAAAAAAAAAAAAAAAAAAAAAGTCTATTGAATGGCAGGAAAATGTTTTAAACTGTTATTTAAAATTGTGGTTAAAACGTATTAAAACATAAACACCGTTTAAAAAATTGTAGTTAAATAAAATGTATCCTAACCGAAACACCTCTATAATAAATGTACTACAAACACTTGAATGAATCCGATAAAAACACCTCCTGAAAAATGAAATTATAACTAAAGCTAGATGATGTAAGGTAATGTATGACCCATTGTTCTTTGTACATACATATGAAACTTTATTACTCAGGTTACATATATTTAAAATAAATAATTTAATTAATTAATACATAAAGTTTACTAAATCTGAGAAATGACTTAGATAGTTTTGTAGTCTGTGCCATTTATATTACTTAAATATTTAAATATAATAGTTTAAAAATTGTAATTTACATATACTTTGTTATGGAAAATAATTATACTTACTATGAGTAATTATCCTTCTGTTATAAAGTAATATAGTCAATTAAAACTAACAATGAAAATATTTTAAAATTTTAATGTGGTAATTTTAAAATTGTAATTAAAATTGTAGTTAAATAAAATGAATTCTAACCTGTTCTTGGTACATACATATGAAACTTTACTACTTAGGTTACATATATTTAAAATAAATAAATAAATTAAGTAATAAATAAAGTTTACTAAATCCGAGAAATGACTTGGCTAATTTTGTAGTAAGTTCCATTAATATTACTAAAATAATATTTTAAAATATAAAGGTTTAAAATTGTAATTTATATATACTTGGATATTGAAAAATAATTTTACTTACTATGAGTAATATTCCTTCTGTTATAAAGTAATATAGTCTAATATAACTAACAATGAAAATATTTCAAAAGTTTAAAGTTTGTAATTTTAAAATTGAAACTAAAATTAAAGTTAAATTGAATGAATTCTAACCTAAGTTTCTTTTAAATAATACTACACGCAAAAAAGAATCCCAAAAAAGCAAATATAGTAAAATAAAATTAATATGAAATGCCATAAGATGTAAGCTTTTGAATGACCCATGTCCTTTGTACTTACATGAGAAACATTATATCACTAGGTTTATATATATATAAAAAAAAAAAAAAAAAAAAAAAAAAAAATGTAACCTCATATACATACTTAAACTTGAATTAATACATAAAGTTTACTAATTCTGAGAAATGACTTAGATAGTTTTGTAGTTGGGCCATTAATATTACTTAAATAATATCTAAATTAAAAGTTTAAAATTGTAATTTACATATACTTTGATAGGAAAAAAATTTTTACTTACTATGAGTAATTATCTGTCTGTTATAAAGTAATATAGTCTAAATTAAAACTAACAATGAAAATATTTTAAAATTTTAAAGTTATAATTTTAAAATTTTAAAATTGAAATTAAAATTGTAGTAAAATAAAATGAATTCTAACATGTTATTTATACATACATATGAAACTTTATTAATTAGGTTACATATATTTGAAATAAATAAATTAATTAATTAATAAATAAATAAAGTTTACTAAATCTGAGAAATGACTTAGCTAGTTTTGTAGTAAGTGCCATTAATATTACTTAAATAATATTTAAATTTAAAGAGAAGAAAAGGAAAAAAAAAAAAAAAAAAATTTACATATACTTTGATATGGAAAAATAATCTTACTTAATATGAGTAATTTTCCTTCTGTTATAAAGTAATATAGTCTATTAAAACTAAACAATGAAAATATTTTAAAATTTTAAAGTTGTAATTTTGAATTTGTAATTAAAATTGTAGTTAAATTGAATGAATTCTAACCTAAATTTCTTTTAAATAATACTACACGCATTAAAAAGAATCCAAAAATAACACCTATAGTAAAATAAAATTAATATGAAATACCATAACATGTAAGCTTTTGAATGACCCATGTCCTCAGTACTTACATGTGAAATATTATAATAATAGGTTTATAAAAGAAAAGTTTACTGAATCAGTGAAATTAAGTAACCATTTCTGCTGTCATAGTCATATACAAAAAAAAAAAAAAAAAAAAAAAAAAATGTAACCTCATATACATACTTAAACTTAATGTTAAAATAATCCTACATAATATAATGGATTCTAATACATTTAACTGTTCTTAAAAAGAATATAGTAAAATAAAATTAAAAAGAAAATATTTCAAATCGTAGTTAAATAAAAAAGTATTGTAAAAAAATCTTTAATTTTAAAAGATGACGTTGAAAATTTTTTACCGTTAACAATTTTTTTTTTTTTTTTTTTTGTTCAGACGACATCCATTCAACCGACGTCAGGTTTCAGTGTAAAATACATCCTCACCCCTTACCAAAATGTAGCTAATAACTGATACAATGATACTGTCATAAGGAAAATCTAGACACCCTGTGTTCAATTTGAGTAGAATATTCTGTAACCATGGAAACGTGATTTTAGCTGTGTATTTAAAACCCAGTAAATTTTAAAAGTTACTCCAAAATTCGCTTGAAGATGAAATAGAACTAATGCTTTTAATTTATTTGCAAAAATAAAATTAGGGGTTTTTAGCTTCTATTTTTGAAACATGGTTGGAACTGTGTAGCGAAAAATAACCATATTTTAAATCAATTAATTTATAATATTAATGCTCTGTAAATTTACATTGAGCACTATTTTGTAAAAATAAAATATCTATAAGAACACCGGATTTTATATCTTACTGTTCTTTCTTTTTATTTATATACATATATATATATATATATATATATATATAATATATATATATATAATATATATATATATATATATATATATATATATATATATATATATATATATATATATATATATATATATATATATATATATATATATATATATATATATATATATATATATATATATATATATATATATATATATATGTTCAAATAATAAGATAAATGGCATGAAGATAATATGATTTTAAACGTGGTCATTTTATAAGCAAAGAACAATAATTGAGTGAATTCATTAGTGAAGCAAATGTCCCAAGTTCCCGGGGACAAATACAATATTTGTGCCCCCACCCACTCCAACACCTGAGTGATCCCTTAAATGCTTTTTTATCTGTTTTGTGATTTACTATTGTCTTAATTACAATAACAAAAAAAAAATCGATTACTACTTTCCTAAGGACGAAAATAATGTCCCAATATCACAATTATTAAACTGGGACTAATTGATTTTTAGACTTATATACAAAATAGTATTAAAAATGCAGTTATCTTGTGATGATGTTATTTTTCAACGCAAAAGCTCGAGTCAATAAGTTCTATATCTCTCGTTCTGTGTTCTGGAAAGACATTCATTTGTGTTTGTCACTATGTTTCATGAAACAAGATAAAAAATATACTAGATTTGCTTAGGTTTACATTAATACATTTAATCTATAAATTAACTTTCCACGCCAGACGAAAATTTGCACGTCGTTTAACATCTTTGATCAGAGACGAATTTCCCCAACAGTACACCTCTGATGAATTTACGCTTTCTATGTAAAATTACAGAGTTAAAATGCACAAATTTTCTCAGATCTTTATATGAATGAGTTACTGAATGAAGAAAATTAATATAAAAAAGTAAATCACAGGTAATAACAAAATAGAACACTCACTGTTTGTAGATACTTAATCGTCATTAAAAGAACACAACTACAGACGAATTAAAAAAAAATGCTCCCGCAATCAATAGGAAAATAATAATTCACTTAACCTTTTCTGCAGTGTGAGTGTTTTTCTGTAGATCGGTCTGTATATAATATGTGTCGTTTTAGAGATGAATGAGTGTTCGCTAAAAAGCGTACAGGTAGTCAATCCAATGTGACATGGCTAGTTGCTATGATCCATCGAACTGAGTAATTTTTTATAAATTAGCAGCTTCCATATAAAGTCTAGAAAGTCGGAAAAATATCATTGGAATATAAAGGCTCCTATGTTCATCGCAAAACTTTTGTGAATGATTTTTTGTATTAAGGTGTGGTCACACGCATAATTATTTATAAGCTAAACTTCTCAATAACAACTCAAGAAAGTTTTTCGTGACGTTAACTCTATTTTTTTAGTGAGTGATTGGTTCATTTTCATCTCGTGTTTCGTTGTGTGGTTAGAAAGAGAAAATATAATTTCATGAGTTTTGAAGAGTAAAGATTTTTTCGTTATGACTTTGAAGAAAAGCAATCTACTGTGGCGCAATTTTTGCAAGTGGCCGATTTTGTGATTTCCTTTATTTGTTTTTTTTTTGTTTTTATTCTTATTTCTTCCTCCCCCTTTATTGCTTTTCAATCCGTAGTTTTACGATTATTTTTTCGTCTGTCTTTACTCTTTCTTTCCTTCTTTAATCTGCCTTTTCCTTCTTTATTTCTTTTTACCTTTTATTTATTTATTTATTTATTTATTTATTTATTTATTTTTTTTCTGTAATAATCTTTTTTTCTTTCTTTCTTTCTTTCTTTCTTTCTTTTGAATTCGTGCCGTTTTTCTTTCTTTTTCTTTCTTTCTTTAATCTGCCTTTTCCGTCTTTCTTTCTTTTTACCTTTTATTTATTTTTAATAATCTTTTTTTCTTTCTTTCTTTCTTTCTTTCTTTCTTTCTTTCTTTCTTTCTTTCTTTCTTTCTTTTGAATTCCTGCCGTTTTTCTTTCTTTCTTTATTTAATCTGTTTTATCTTTCTGTTTTTCTTTTTCTTTCTGTCTTTCATTTTTCATTTTTTCTTTTATTCTTTCTTTCAATCTTTCTTTCCTTAATCTGACTTTTCCTTTCTTTTTACTCATTATTGTTATTTTTCTGTAAAGAACTTTATTTTTTCTTTCTGTCTTTTTTTGTTGCTCTAATACCATTTTTCCTTTTTCTTTCTTTAATCTGCATTTTCTTTCTTTCCTTGTTTCTTTATTTTTCTGTAATAATCTTCATTTTTTCCATCTTTCTTTCTTTCTTTCTTTCTTTCTTTTTATTTGTACTGTTCTTTTTTCTTTTTCTTTGCTTCTTTATTTAATCTGTTCTTTCTTTCTTTCTTTCATTTGCCTTTTTCTTTTATCTTTTTACCCATGATTTTTATTTTCTGTAATGAACTTTATTTTTCTTTGTCTTTCATGTTTTCAGTTTTGTTCCCTTTTTTCTTTAATCTGCCTTTTCTTTCTTTCTTTAATCAGCTTTTTCCTTTTCTTTATATATAATAATATAATAACTGACCACCCGTATTCGAGGATACCCGTTTACTAGGGCGGCTAGCCAATCCCTATTGCAGACGCTCGCCCAGGCACATTTGTGTCTGTTCAACACCCACAGATCCCACCTATGGTTTATACTGCAACTATGCTGAGCAGACTTTAGTTACAATTTCTAGGAGAGAACGTGTTATCTAGCGTGATCAACAATCTGAACAAGGCCAGCACACTTAAACCCTCGGTCACGATGACTTGTGACTTCATGCTAGTACAGCTATCGACGGTCCCCAATTGTGTTCAGTCTATACAATTTCACTCACAAGGCTTGGGTCAACCCGTGGTATAGTTTTCAGGCACTTTCCAAAGGTGCTACACACTGACAACATTAGGAAGTTATCCTGACAGATCAACCGTGGTGAGATTCGAACAAAGGATTCTTTATACCTACACACACAGGCTCGCGCACACACACACACACACACACATATATATATATATATATATATATATATATATATATATATATGTATGTATGTGTGTGTGTGTCTGTGTGTGTGTGTGATTCTAAAGATTTTAAATAAAATCGGCTAGATACAAAAAATAAAAATAAAAATTCTAAAATTCCCAGCATCCCTCTTTCGTGCGCATGTGTAGTTCTACCAACATAACAAATTTAGTCTAATGAAGTCCTGAAGAACGAAACGCGTCACAAGTAAATTTTTTCCTTGTGTGTATATATATATATATATATATATATATATATATATATGTGTGTGTGTGTGTGTGTGTGTGTGTGTGCGCGCACGCGCGTGCGTGTGTATTATTGATAGAATGTTCCTTTTTTTCTTTAATATGCCACTGGATATATTTACAATTTGGTACGCACATAGACCGTATCAAAAAATTATTGTTGGAATGATTCTTTCTTCACTTCTTTCTTTCTTTCCTTCTTTCTTTCCTTCTTTCTTTCTTCAATGGAGGTGAGTACAATGGTTTACGCATGTAGACCTTATAAAAAATTATTGTTAGAAAAATCTTTCTTTCTTTCTTTCTTTCTTTCTTTGTCATAGGAATGGTGGTGATTACAATGTTTTACGCATGTAGACCTTATCAAAAATTATTGTTAGAAAGAATCTTTCTTTCTTTCTTTCTTTTTTCATTCTTTTTTCCTTATTTGCTATGCCAATGAAGGTCGTTACAATTTGTTACGCAAATAAGCCTTATCAAAATTGTTGTCAGAATCTTTTTCTTTCTTTCTTTCTTTCTTTCTTTCTTTCTTTCATATGCCAATGGAAATGATTACAGCGTGTTACGCGCATAGACCTTATGAAAATTTTATATTGTTAGAATGTTTCTTTCATTCTTTTTTCTTTCATACTTTCTTTCTTTGCCATACCAATAGACTCAGTTACAAAGCGTTACACAGATAGACCTTACAAAAATAACTATTGTTAGAATCTTTCTTTCTTTCTTTCTTTCTTTCTTTCTTTCTTTCTTTCTTTCTTTCTTTCTTTGCCATACCAATAGAAGCGGTTACAAAGCATTACGCAGATAGAACTTACCAAAATAACTATTGTTAGAATCTTTCTTTTTTTTTTCTTTTCTATACCAATAGAGGCTGTTACAAAGCGTTACACACATTGATCTTATCAAAATTCAAATATATATGATTCAACAGCATGCAAACCCATATTTAGCCTAATCCAATATTCTTCAAAATTAATAAATCATAGAAATGATAGAAGTCATGACTTGAAATTAGAAAACGTGTCGAGTAATTTATTTACATCAATCGAATATATGTATTGCACTAATTCTGGATCGTTGGACTTTATGTCAACGATTCATTTCTACTTCGCTGCCAGATAAATTCAATTCGTTTAATGTTTTATTTTTTTCAGCTGAGATTACACATTTACAAGTCCTTTCCCGCACTGATTTCTCCATAAGTGACATTTTCAAACGCGTGGTTTGCGTTCTTCTCTTCATTACCGACTTTACTCTCATCGGAAGTGACATTATCCAGATGGTTGTACAAACTCTCATATTCTTTGGTGCCATGATCCTCGTCAGATTCAATATTGCCCTCTTTCACGATTAACTGTTCGTATTGACAATCATTACTGTTAATTGTATTTGACAGGTTTGTTTCCGTTGGGCTAGGACCCGATTTTCGATCTTTCCTTACCACATGACTGTAACCAGAAGAATCCATTACCAAAATCGTTTCTCCGCTTTTAGCTTTATGTTCAGTCATTTGTATTTCATCCAGATGATTATAATCACCAGTGTCATTGAACAAAGGTTCATTCATTCTTTGCGCCAATACATGTTGATCTATCTACAACAAAAATGAAAGAGAGAATCAAATTTTAAACAGATATTAACGTAAGAGACACATGGCCCAGTGGATAAAAGCGTTCGTTGAAGTTAAACCAGTTACTTGAACCAAAGAGTTCTGAGTTCAATACCTGGCCATAGCAGAGGTAAATCAAAATAAATAAATAATTGAGAGTTGAGTTACAAAAGGGAAATAACTGAAACTGATATATCCGAAAGAGGCATGGCACATGGAACTAGAACAATCTACCCCGGTGAGCGAAATAAAGGGTTCGGTTCGAAATTTCAATCACCTGAAGAAGGCCGGAGTGTACAACGGCCAAAACGACGTGAATATGACAACAGTCGGAACAGTGTAAATAGTTACAATACAGAAATACAGACAGAATAAAAGACGCATTCTATTTAACGGAAATATAAAGTTCTATCTGAAAAATATAAGATACTTAAATAAAAATTCGCGAATTTCCACTGTTGATTTTCCCATGAAACTTAATTTAGATATGGCACAAGGCCAAATATATGGAGCACCCAGTGAGGATCGAACTCACGACTCAGTCGTAATTGTTCTAGCGGCACAAATTTGCTAACCATTGCACCATATCGAAGTGCCGTTTATACTAAGCGTAATTTAGATGTGAGACAAGGCTGAAATTATAGAGCACCCAGTGAGGATCTAATTCACTACTCAGTCGTATTTATTCTAGCGGGACAAGCTTGCTAACACCACACTGAAGTTCATTCTATATTAAGTGTAGCCTAAAGTATGGGGTACCCAATGAGGATCACAACTAACTCTTAATTGATCTCGTGAGGAATTGCCCACGGATATCGATCTATGACCAACACGATTTTTTAAACATAGCTTAGGTGTGGCACAAGGCCAAAAGCATGGCGTGTCCAATGAACATCGAACTCACTATTCAGTCGTAACTGTGTTAGTGAGACGAGCTTGCTAACCATTACACCACGTCGAGACGTCCAAAAATGTTTTTCTAAACGTAACTTAGATATGGCTCAAGGCTGAAAGTAGGGGACACACAGTGAGGATCGAACTCACTACTCAGTCGTAATTGTTTTAGCGAGGCAATATAAACCATTAAACTACGTAGAGGTGTCCAACAATGTTTTTCTTAGCGTAGGTTAGATGTGGTACAAGGCTGAATGTGTGCACCATCCCTAAACACACTAGTCAATTTTTTGTATTTCTTTGAAGCATGAGCTACCAGGAATCCCATCAATGGGTCTATCGAAACCTTTTCCAATCAGTCCGACGAATCCAACTACAATTGAAATTATTAATGTCCTCATGTGCCACATTTTTCAGATTTCCACTTCAACACCTTTGTATTTTGATAATTTTCTTTTCAGATCTTCAAATATGTATTACAATTGTCGGGGACTGTCATGTCACTAAGAATCCATATTCTGTTTTTGTTGACTTTGATCACAATGTCTGGCCGATTACTTTGATTGTTCTATCTGTGTGTATTATTTATTTATTTATTCCTTTGACATCTGGTGTATAGTCTATTCTTTCCAGACCTAAGAGCAGAAATGGCATCATGACATTTTCCACTGTGACCCCCGCCACCACAAAAAAAAGAAAAAAAAAGAAAAAAAGAAAAGAAATGAAAAACACTAAAATCACACATATTTTATATAAAACCCTTCGTAATATGTGCGCTGTACTTGTGAGTACAATTGTTTATATTTCTTCAAGGCATGAGCTACAAGGAATCCATTCAATGAGTCTCTCGGAACCTTTTCCAATCAATCCGAGGGCTCCAACTACAAATGGAATAGTTGATGTGCCACATTTTTGAGATTTCGATTTCAAGGTCCTTGTATTCTGCTAATTTATATATATATATATATATATATATATATATATTCAAGGATACATTACAGTCTGAAGAGCCTGCCATGTCAATAAGAAGGCATATTTTGTCTTTGCGGTCTCTGATCACGATGTCTGTGCGATTAGGTTTGATTGTTCTGTCGGTGCGTATTATAAAGTCTATAAAATTGTTACAGGTCCTATCTCCGTAACCGGGTCTAGGTGGGGATCCTACCAATTACTTGCAGTTTCCTTTCCGTAAAAGTTACGTATTTTCCAATGCAGATATTGGCCCACTCTGTCATACCGGGATTTATATTTCAGTGGGTGCCAATACCGTGAAACCTGATACAAGATGGTCAATTTTTAAAAAAATATTTATCACAGAATTTGCCTCCTGGGAAACGCAATTTTTCAGTATGTGAACTTGGTAATTTCTAGTTAGTAAGCATTGTTTCAGTTTTTGACCCTGCACTACGTAACCACTGATGGGTACGTGGTTTTTTCTACATCAACTTATTTGATACGGGTAGAATATTGACCATGAAGAGGCTAATCTTGTTATCGTTTCTGCATCTGGCTTTTTGCTTTTTCTTTCCTTTTTAGGTTCTTTGCCAGTGTAGTAGATGATTTACTTTCATTGCTTCGCCCACTTGAATTTACAGTTTGAATTTGTAGGCTTCCTTTATTACTGAATAAGTTTCTTATTTTTTCATTTTCTTTGACACAGATCATCATCATCTCTTCTGTAGTTTCCAGGTATCTTTGAAGACCGATTGTTGTAAGACAGTTCTAGTTGAACTAAACCTCTACCTCCTTCGGATCTGGGCACACCAACATCAGTCCTATTCCTTAAATATAAGATGAAACAGTGGAAAACCACATTATACCTTAAATCACACCAAAGATACTGCCACTTCCAGTTGTTTAAATATCCGACGATGAAACTTTCAAGGAGACTCCCTGTCGCCCCTTCTGTTCTGTCTGCCCTTAATCCATTTCCGCGTGGCAAGTGAGAAGCTTTCTCGTTTTGGCGTCCATTCGCTTAATGTCAGCTAAGATCCAATTAAGGATGTTGAAACTGTATTGCGTCACAGGAACAGCTAAAGTATTTATGGCTGATATTCTGTTTTGTGAATACAACTCGGTATTTAACACTGTACACACACACACACACACACACACACACACACACACACACACACACACACACGTGTAGTATTCTTTTATTACTTTCTTCTTCATTGGGTTTTTCTATTCTGAGAGAATTAAAAATCCTGCAAGGATTCCGCATTGGCGGTCACAATCTTACCAACATAAGATACGCAGATGACACAGTACTGATAGCAGACACGGAAAAGAAACTACAAAACCTCCTACAGAAGGTGTGCGAGGGAAAGCGAGAAGAAAGGACTAACCATAAACTACAAGAAGACAGAGTGCATGGTCATCAGTAAAAAAAGTCCAAAATGCGATTTGCAGGTCGGAGACACTAAACTCAAGCAGGTGCAGAAGATTAAATATCTGGGAAATGTTTTGACGGAGAACGGTAAGAGATTCGAAGGTGTATTGGGATGGCCAAAGACGCATTCCAAAATCTAGGCAGAGTATTACGAGACAGAAGGATTTCGTTGGTGATAAAGAAAAGAGTACTGAGCTGATACGTGACATCTGTCCTCCTTTACAGCAACGAATGTTGGACGGTCTCGTCAAAGGAAGAAGATACTCGAAGCAACGGAGATATAGTTCTACAGAAGGATGCTGAGAATATCATGGGCCGAGCGTGTGAGCAACGATGAGGTTTTAGAGAGGATGCAAACAAAGAGAAAGCTTATACTTGACATCAGGAAGAGACAGCTGAAATTTCTGGGACACGTAATGAGAAAGGAGGGCCTGGAGAATCTGATACTCACGGGTCGAATAGAGGGAAAGAGAGACAAGGGAAAGCAACGTATGGCATACCTGGCAGCCTTAAGCAAGTGAATGACAGAACGTGGTCTGGGGGTAGTTGGCAGAGGGATGAAACTCATTGAGAGCTACAAGGGATAGGGGGAAGTGGAGAGCCATGATCGCCTACGTCCTGAAAGGACACGACACATAAAAAGAGAAAAGTATTCTATCTTCTTCGATAACTTCTAGATTATTATAGGCTTCCTCTAGTTTCAGTTCCCCAATCTTTGTGACAAAATCTAGATCTATTGAGTGTTTTCCTGTAATTTTCTCTTTCTTGACTGGTACTTTTGCAGATTTATCTAATCCAAAATCCATACCGAGGCCATCATTGAAACATTTTGCAGTATTGAGGATACTCTTCAATTTATTGTCGCCTTTGGCAAAGAGTTTGATATCATTTATGTAGAATAGGTGATTAAACACTTTCTTGTTTACTTTGTATCTATAGTCATTACTGTTTCGTTCCCGCGAACGTGGATTAAGGACAGACAGAACAGAAAGGTCGTCAGGGAGTCTCCTTGAAAGTTTCCTCGTCGGATATTTAAACAATTAGAAGTGTTAGTATCTTTGGTGGGATTTAGGTATAATGTGGTTTACACAGTTTCATCTTATATTTAAGGAAATTTACTACCACCGAGGTGATATTGTTCGTTTCCTTAAGGATCCAAGAGTGTGGTTGGCGCAATATCAAAGGCTTTACGGTAATCTGTCTAAACTGTGCTGTGATTTCTACCTTTTTGCCTGCAAATTTCCAGGATCATTTTATTCATTACTAGCAGCATGGCCCGGCGTTGCCCGTGCTTGATTAAGAAATCATACGACTCATACAGCAATCGCTATCACTTGACTTAAAATATTTTTGCCCTTCCTTGCCTTTAAAGGTGTGCCCTTTTCCGTGATGATGTTGCTACATGCCTTACTTCTTGCCTATCTCACACTGTGAATTTTTTCTAAGCTCTATACTAAACATTAAATCTGTTACGAAAAAAGAACTAAACAAAATGAACACAAAACGATCAGCTTTAAAAAAGGACTCGTAACTGGAGAAATCGAATGAAAAAAGAATGTTAACAACAAATACTTTTTCACACTCAACCCACTTCTGCGGAATCAGAATCAACATTGAGTTTAAGCAAGCGAATGAGCCAATTGGAATAAAGTGCCATGCAGATTTAAATTTTTCCCACTTGTGACGAATGCAGCTATCGATTTTTTGCATGCTAGCATGCTAGTTAACATTCGTGTCAGTCAGCTGTTGGCTCTCACGCTAGCCAATAGAATCTTCCTGCTTATTCGTGGCAGCCAGCTATAGGCTCTCACTCTGGCCAGTAGAAAATGGCCGCAAACTACATGAAAATTGTCGTAGAAGCATGAAAAAATCGATTATTTTCACTATCGATGTGAGTTGGGAAATGCAAAGTCGGTCTTGGCCTTCCCGCTAACTTGGAGCATGTGCATGTAAATTTTGGTGCAAATCCGTCGAAAATGGCGGCCGTGCATTCGTTACACACACACACATCCTGCCTTTTATAGATTGAGATTAGTTGATCTTTGCGACCATATGAACCTCATCAACTTCTGATTTTGTTTTCTTCGAGAAAAGAGTAAGTTCGTCAGGACAGACGTGATCAATTTATATGTCTTGGACAGATATGTTATTGGTATTTTTTTGGATCATCTGTTGTTGTTGTTGATGTTGTTGTCGTTTTTGTTGTTGTTGTTCCGAACACAGCTATTGTAGGGAGCTAAGCTAAAATGAATCTTATCGTGAAACTGTAAGGAATGAACAGGAGGAGGAATGTCTACCCATAAATAAATAAATTATTATTATTGATTTATTTGGTGTGGGGGGGTGTAAGAAAAATCAAAGGTTCCATGGTTTAAAATGTTTCAGTGTTTACGATTCAAAGGTAGCGACCGAAACAGCCTTTAAAGATTTGTCACTCATCAGTAACAAGGATGATTAATTTCCTACTGACTTGATAGGGATTGAACTCACAAGCACTATGTTACCAAATTTACAAATGCTTTCATCCATTAGACCATAGGATAATTTTCTATAGTTAACTTAGAGCCTTAGACTGCTATATAGCAGTTACAATACACTATTTATATTAGGACTATGCCCTCCTGATATATCGATCTTGGCCACCTACAGGGAATATTGTAATGAAACCTTTATTTAATCAGCTCTCTTTCTACTGCTCTTGTCTAAGGATATCGTTTTATTTTATTATTGCTTGCCTGCTTCCACTGAGGGTAAGTACACACTGCCCGACGCAGAGATTGAACTTACAACCACAAACCAACGCTTTTACCCACTAGGCCATTGTCCAGTAGGGCGCACTTGTACTCAGTCTAAAGAGGCGAGCAATAACTGAAAAGTATTAAATAAAAATAAGAACTAATCAATATCACTCGACATGAGCAGAGGAACAGTCTACACATGTAGATTAAATGAAGGGTTCAATTTGGAATTCCCTATAGGTTACCCAGATCGATATACACCTGTGGAAGGCCAGAGGGCACAACGGCTGAAAAGTTGTAATAAAAACAACAAAGATGAGGACAATAGTCCGAATATAAATAGTGTAAATATTACTTATTAGTAGTAAATAAAAAATAATTGAAATAAAATGAGAAAAATAATAAAATATGTACCCTGGAGCCATCAATTTCTGTATATAAATCTTCTGCATTATTACCGCTTTCCTGGACTGGTGTTTTGCTGTAAATAAATAGACAGATTTATTTTACAGATTTCTTTTTTTTTTTAATTGAATTAATTCCATGCAAGACAGTAAAGCAACTAAGACACAAGCGATTACTGAGTGTGAAAGAATTAGAAAACAAAAGCATTAAGGAGTGAGAACAATAGAAGAGTAATCAGGAAGCCTAGTTATAATGAATGGATATCCCCTCGGAGAAGCACCGTGCCTTGAGAGGCTATTGAGCCTTAAACACAAACCTGATCTCAAATACAACTCGTATATATGATCCATCGCTAAAGATGCAGGTAAAATGGTCGGCTCCCTGGTGGAGTAATGGATAGTGGCCCGGATTGAGGAATCGGAAAGCTGAGTTCGAATTCCAGTCGAATCCATTCACTTACGTGCTAATACCTTTAGGAAAGGTATGAATTCTCTTCTCCTCACCCCAGCTATGGGTAAATAGTAGGACAGACCGGGTTCTATAGACTTGGATGCAGACTGGTCTGCTGCAGAAAGAAATGGCAACCTAAAAAAATCTGCCTCGTCAGTCATGTATCTTTCGATACATGATCGCCTAAGCGTGTATCACGCATGGCGTATAACTGACTGATTGTCATATTTGGGCGGGAGCTGTCCAGATCTTACTCTCCAGCCTTGACAGTGTCCAAAAGCTTATCCGAGGGTGACGAATTATTTTCCACCCTCTACCCTCTTTCTCACAAACGGAATGTGGCAAATCTCTCACTACTTCCACCGAAAGTGCTTGAATGAACTACATTCCTTGGTTCCTCTAGTTCTAACCTTCATGTCAAGGACCCTCCATACCACTTATATTGCATCAGACCCACGTTCTCTTATATTTCATTGGTGAGTAGTAAGTTTCACTCTAACAGCATCTTCCCGCGAACCACTGCTCTGTGAAACTGACTCCAAAGAGGATGTTTCTCCGATCACTACAATCTTAACCTGTTCAAGTCTAGGGTTAGCAGTTACTAGCAGTAAATCCCGGCGTTGCCCGGGGATGTAACAATAAGAGATAGATCGAGTATCGACCATCATAAAGACTGAAAAATAGAATTGACAAAGATTATTGTTTAAGGTTGACGGATACGCATGTCTTAATTAGTATTTTTTTTGTTTTGTTTTGTTTTGTTTTGTTTTTTTTTACGAATTGGTCAAACCCAAACTCAAACAAAAACATTGTTTTCAATCGTTATGAGTCTACCGATTGAATAGAATTTTATTATAAACAATTGTCTTGTAAATGGAATTTTAAAGAATTCTGATTGTAAAAATAAAGAAAAAAAAGATATGCAAGACAATAAGAAACACCTGCCAAAAAAAAAAAAAGTGAAGTTTTGTTGAAATCGGTTGAAAAATGTAGGAAATCCGATCCCATATATAAACGAACACACACACACACACACACACACACACACACACACACACACACACAACTGGGTTTTATAATAAGTATAACTCGATATGGGTTGTCTCCCTTTCATTCTCGTGATGCCTCTTAATCGTGTTTTCAAATTGATTTTGTGCAAAAACAATTGTGCTTTTCGAATTTTTGGCGCTGTTAGAACCACCGCAAGGTAATTTTACGTAGTCCTGTTAAGTTTTGTTGAAATCGGTTGAAAAATGTAGGAAATCCGATCCAATATATAAACGTACAGACACACACACACGCACACGCACACGCACACACACACACAACCTGGGTTTTATAATAAGTATGATCACACCCCTTCTATCCGTACAAACTACCGTTTAACGTAACCTCTACCTCGAGTGACTCCCGGGATCTATATAGGGTGAACCTTACTGTAAAGGAAAAAATAAAATAAAAAGGAAGACTGTAGATAACGATTGAGATTACATTAAAATTTTTGAAGATGAAAGTTGGCCGGAAAGCATGGGGCCGGAAGAGAATTCCACAAGTGCGAGAAAAGAAACTGTTAACATAGAACTTACGGTTACATCTAGCCAATTCAAATGTAAAATGTGGAGACCTTGTTGCCAGTCTAGTACTGCGCTTAAATTCTTGTAGTCTAGGTTCCATAGCGAAGTGTTTATCCAAACAATTACCATCAAAGTATTTATAGAAAAGGCACAGGGAAGCAACTTTACAGCGTTGGGAAAGTGAGTGAATCCGAGATGCCAGGTTAGGAACAATAATATCACAGATTCTTCTTTAGATTTAATCAAGACTCTCTAAACATACAGCAAGAGCACCGGGCCATATGTGACAGCAATATTCGATATGTAAGATACATGTTAGAGAGAAAGATTGTCTAGCACGGATTCAATATTGTCTTTCCATTTCAAATCAGCGGACAATATTAGCCCGAGAAAGCGCAACGTGTCACTCTCCTGGAGGTGACCCGTTGTGGTAGCACCTGATAGGGTCCCAGTTATGGGCAAATAGTGAAACCTCAATTGAAAGTCAACAGTACATTTTTATAATAAATGTACCAACAATACATTTTCATAGTAAACAGTACATTTTATAATAAAATTATAATTTATAATACATTTTCAAGGTCAACAGTACATTTTTATAATAAATGTACCAGCAATACATTTTCATAGTAAACAGTACATTTTATAATAAAATTATAATTTATAATGCATTTTCAAGGTCAACAGTACATTTTTATAATAAATGTACCAACAATACATTTTCATCGTAAACAGTACATTTTATAATAAAATTATCATTTATAATACATTTTCAAGGTCAACAGTACATTTTTATAATAAATGTACCAGCAATACATTTTCATAGTAAACAGTACATTTTATAATAAAATTATCATTTATAATACATTTTCAAGGCCAACAGTACATTTTTATAATAAATGTACCAGCAATACATTTTCATGGTAAAATTACCAACAATACATTTTGTAGTGAAATTACTAGCAATAATTTTTTTTAAATTCACTAACACTACATTTTTAACGTGTAGAAACTATAAAATACGTTTGACCTGAAATTATAAAATTCTGTACAAAATATCTCTAGCTAAAGGCATAAATTTGCGTTCAAAATATATATAGCTGGAGCCATAAAATTGCGTATATTTCAGCATTAAATAACCCAAAGAGATTGATATGACGCTAAACAAAGTCAACCATTCAATACACATATATATATATGACAAGATAAGGGAAAAATAAGAAATCTTTATAAATTTGACATGTTTCGCTTTTATTAAAGCTTCAACAGAGAATAGTCAAATTCAATAAGTGCGGAATATATTAGATTTATAAACGTTTCCTATTTCCTCCTTATCTTATCATTCTATCGGATTCTAATCTATATTTGATCCCGAAAAAAAATTTTTTTTTCTAATTACTACTATAACCATTGTTTAAACTTATCCCTCCTCCCTCAATCGTCTTACTCTCTCCTGTTCCCACCTTTCCTCCCCTAACCCTCATTCTTGGAAGGCTAGGAAATGCTCTGCCTAAAACCTTGACCATTGCTGTCAATTTAAAATTCTTCAACTTAATACCTCAACAATCCTTCACCAAACAACAATTTTGTCTATTTATTTTAAGTAAGTTCCTTTCGTATTGTCTGCAGCAAGGGCGGACTATCATTGTTGTTTCGTCCGTGTGTTGTTTGATATATTGAAATTGTCATCTTTGATAATGGCTTATGTAAGCCGAAATCAACAAGCAATTTTTTTCACTCTGCAACCCTTTAACCTTTCCTATCTTTTCTTTATCCTTACAAGTCCCATTTTAATTTTTTTTTCCAGAGCAGAGAAATAGAAAACAGAAAGTTACGTTACACGTACAGACAGAATTATTCATAACCATTTTGGTTCTCACCAGTCAAGGTGCAAATAAATGCACCGAAACAAAATTGCATCTTTGTAGTAACTAAATTGTTTTTGTCTATATGAAAAAATTATATATATATATATATATATATATATATATATATATATATATATATATATATATATATTATAATTTTTTCATATAGACAAAAAATATATATATATATATATATATATATATATATAACTTACTTAAATATATATATATATATATATATATATATTACTTAAATATATATTATTTAAAATATATATATATATTACTTAAAATATATATATATATATTATTTAAAAATATATATATATATATATATATATTACTTAAATATATATTACTTAAAATATATATATATTACTTAAAATATATATATATATATTACTTAAAATATATATATATATATATATATATATATATATAACTTACTTAAAATAAATAGACAAAACTTGTCTGTATTATTTAATGAAACATGCATGTATATACATTCCTTTCATACTGTCTGCAGCAAGGGCGGACTATCATTGTTGTTTCATCGGTGTGTTGTTTGATATATTGAAATTCTCATCTTTGTTAATGGCTTATGTAAGCCGAAAGCTTAGATTGGATTTAAACAGGTATCAATATGGTGTTTTCTTTTCGTCTTTCAATAATAATGTGATTAAGCTTATCAGACAACATGAAAGGAACTTACTTAAAATAAATAGCCAAAACTTGTCTATATTATTTAATGAAACATGCGCTTATGAAAAATTTCTGCCTAAATATATATATATATATATATATATATATATATATATATATAATGGCTTGCCGCTCGTTTCTGAGTATGCTTGCGACTAGTGTCGCTAGTCAGTCCATGTTGCAGACGCCTGCTCAGTCACATTTGTGTTTGTTCAACACCCATAGAGCCAACAGTTTCACTGTATAATGTTCGATTTATATGATTAATATCGCAGCGTTAGAAAGAAAAATGATTATGCAGAAAAATAGTTATTTGTAGTGTAAAATACAGACCTATTGATGTACCTATGTAGGTCAGACTGTATATAACTGAGCAGAGTACGAATTTTTAGGATCAGTAGTTTTAGGCAAAGAATCGGGCTTTCATACTATTCACAAGTGAATTTTAAGAAAAAAAAAATCATACATTTTCCGTGACCGGTTGTACTATACACAAGTAAAAAAAAAATTCTGGAAGGGTTAAAATTCAAGCATTTTTCGTTGACCGTGACTTACTTGTAACGCCTATATACCTTTGACTATCCTTAATGCTTTGAGCCCTGATCATCGCTTTTACCGGTGGTAGAGAAAAATGCCCAGCCACAGGTTGAACAGTGGTAGTGAAAAATGACTTAATGAATGCCTAGCCACCAGTTGAACGGTGGGTAAACACTTGTAACTATTTTAATATCTACCGTGAAACAACACATACCAATTATCAGCAAATTTTGACTCAGGATCTCAGGCAAAAGTGTTAAAATTATTCTAGAACGCAGAGCTCAAAGGATTAATGGTTTATAGCGATGTAAATACTTGCGATGTAAACACTTTCGGAACGAAGATGAATGCAAATTTGAGATAGGAAAAAATCTATTGATTCTTCATTTATATATTTTTTTTGTTGATTTTAATTGGCATACATAATGGATGAGGTTCATATTGTGACAAAAGAAAAGAAACTCAGGCGAAGTAGGAGGCAGGCCAAGGGTAAAGGAGCTATCGTAGTCAGGCATAGAAGAAAACGATATATAAATCTTCATACCAAATATTTTACAGTAAGTTTTTTCTCCGCCATTTTGATTTGGTTTGGTTTGTTTGTTTTACGGCATATCACCCTCAATGGGTTATTTAATACCGTCAACTTTTTTTCCTGGTAATATTTTGTTTCATCCAAAATCTATTTCTGGTAATATTTTTTCCTCAAAAATATATGGCTGGTAATATTATTTTAAAACATTTATTGCTGGTAATATTTTTTTTTCAAAAACGTATTGCTGGTAATCTTTTTTTCAAAAATATATTGCTGGTAATAGTTTTTTTCTTCAAAAATTTATTTCTGGTAATAATTTTTCTGGTATTAAAACCGATTTTTACACTTCTATAATGTTTTTTACTTCAGTTTCGGGGCCAACTATTTGCCCATAGCTGGGACCCTAACAGGTGCCACCACTCCGGGCCAGGATGGACCTGGGAACACCAGAAGTCAAGAGGCGGTTCCACGCTCCTCAAAACCTCCCGATCAGAGGCCCCGTCGTCGCAGTTTATCGTCTTACCCTGGACGCGGTTTTAGTTTATCGCCATACCCAGGACGGCCTCACCATTTTGGGTAGCTTTGTACAAAAAAGAATGAAGACCATTTATTTGTTATAAAAATATGTCCAGGATGATGTCCAGTACTTCAATATTTGATTACGTTACACCAAATAATATTGCACAGTTGCTTGGGTCGTATTATACTTGAACTCTATGAAAAAGTCAGAGTTTTCACAAAAAAACGTTCTGGGGTTGTACTGTAAATGAAGTAGGCTTATACACGTGAATATACGGTACTCCATTTTTGGTCATTTTATCTCTGCTCTCCTTCCTAAAGGGAACTGATATTATCGATGTGTGGCGAAACAATGATTGAGGAAGATACTTACAAGAGGCATTCTGATCTGTCAGGAGAAACCAAGCCCCTTTTGACAACTTCTCAATAGTTTTACTGAATAAAAAAAGATAAAGGATCGTAAGTAGAGAGAGTAATATTATTTAATTAGATAACTTTTTGAAAGGTTTCTGCCTGAATTTCTGGAATGAGGAATTATTCTTATTTACATTCGAATTATTGTCTTCATTTTTGTTGTTGCTATTACAACGTGTCAGTCGTTGTGTCCGCTAATCTTCATCAGGCATGGACGAAAACAATAGTACGGTATCTAAGTCTTCGTACCAAATATTTTACGGTGAATGGTTTTTGCTACCATTTCGAGGTAGATTTGCTATAAAAATATGTCTAGGATGATGTTCAGTATTGCAATATTTGATTACGGTAGCCCTACTAGTATTGCACAGAAGCTTGGGTCGTATTATACACGAGCCACATGGAAAAATTAGTTAAAAAAAACAAAAAAACAGGTGTCGACCTATATATGAAGTTGGCTTATACGATATATATTTCGACAGTCAGTCACCCACTGACTTTACTAAAATACAATCCTGACTCGCTAAGCACTGAGCATTGGCAATAATAGAACGCTTAGAGTTTAATCCAGCTGAGACCTGTTATCAATAGAACCCTTAGTATTCAGTTCTGTTTCGCTTTGTAGAATGCTTGGAGATCAATCTTAGAATGCTTGAAGATCAATCTTAGAAAGCTTAGAACGCTTAGAGATCAATCGTAAGCCCTGAGATTTGGCTTCAGTAGAACACTTAGGTCAAAATTCTGACTCGCTTAGCGCTCGGCTTTGGGTTAAAATTTAATACTACTTCGTTTAGTCAGTCAGTTATGCACCATGTGTGATACACCCTTAGACGATCATGTATCTTTCGATACATGACTGACGTGGCAGATTTTTTCCCGTAGTAGGTTGTCATTTCTTTCTGTGGTAGACCAGTTGTGATCCAAGGCAACAGAACTCGGTCTGTCTTGCTATTTACCCATCACTGGTGGGGGTGAGAACAAGAGGATTCATACCTTTCCTAAGGGTCAGTCAGTTATGTGCCATGCGGGATACACGATTAGGTGATCTTGTATCTTTTGATACATGATTGACCCGCAGTAGCTTGCCATTTTTTTCTGCAGTAGACCATTTGCGATCCAAGGTTACAGAATTCGGTCTGTCCTGCTATTTATCCATAGCTTGGGGGAGGGGAAGAAGAAAAGGATTCATACCTTTCCTAAGGGTATTAGCACGTAAGTGAATGTAATGATTTTGAGTGGAATTCGAACTCGGCTCTCCGATTACTCAATCCGAACCGCTATCCATTACTCTACTGTGCCTCAACCTTAAGTATAATAGAACATTTAGAGCACAATCCTGCATCGTTAAGAGTTGTTTCTTGGCATAAGTGCTTACTAGCAGTAGAGCCCGGCATTGCCCGGGGATGTAACAGTAAGAGATAGATCAAGTATCGACCATCATAAAGACTGAAAAATAAAAATATTGACAAAGATTATTGTTTAAGCTTGACGGACACGCATGTCCTTATTAGTTTTTTTTTTTTTTTTTTTGTTTTTGTTTTACGATTTGGTCAAACCTAAACTCAAACAAAAGCATTGTTTTCAATCGTTATGAGTCTACCGATTGAATAGAATTTTATTATAAACAATTGTCTTGTAAATGAAATTTTTAAAGCATTCTGAATGTAAAAATAAAGAAAAAGGTGTGCGAGACAATAGGAAACAGTACCTGCCAAAAAAAAGTGAAGTTTTGTTGAAATCGGTTGAAAAATGTAGGAAATCCGATACCATATTTAAACGAACACGAACACACACACACACACACACACACACACACACACAAACAAACAAACAACCTGGGTTTTTATAATAAGTATAACTCGATATGAGTTGTCCCCCTTCCATTCTGGCGACAGAATCGTGTTTTATCGTGTTTACAAATTGATTTCGTGCAAAAACATTTGTGCTTTTCCAATTTTTGGCTCTGTCAGAACCACCGCAAGGTAATTTTACGCAGTCCCGTGAAGTTTTGTGAAATCGGTTGAAAAATGTAGGAAATCCGATCCAATATATAAACGTACACACACACACACACACACACACACACACACACAATCTACGTTTTATAATAAGTAAGATTTAGTATTTAGTGCTCTGTATGAGTAAGCGTTAGTCTTTGGTTCTAATAGGACATCGATAGCTGATTCTTCTTTCGCTAAGTAATGAATCTTAGCCTTTCTGGAATACTTAGAGCTCAATCGAGCCTCGGTAAGCGTTTAGCTTTGGCACTAATAAAACACTTGTCTCACTAGAGCTTTGTTAGGATAATTTGATTAAAACTTGCACGCTTGGTGCTATACCCAGTGTGAAGACCCCTATTTATTGCCGTGTTGTTATTTTGGATCAATAAATAAAATTAGTCAGGTTAGCGCACAGTTTTACCCAACAAGAATACTTACCGTTTTTTTTTCTTTAAGAAAGTCCGCACATTTTTTAAGATGATGCCTAAAATTAGTAGAAAGAGGCAGATTCCTAAAATAATGGATGAAATTGTTCCTGAAGAGAGCTCAAATTGATATTTGATATTACAGTCCGCAGTAGAAGTAGTCAGTACTGTGGTCCCAATGTGTGGACATCCTTTATGTGATTCATTTGTGGATATATTTTTTGTCCCGAAAATGTTTGTTGTCATTTCGGTAGGTGGTATGGTGGTCTGAAAAATAAAATAAATTCTCGTAATTTTCACGTATTTTTCTTAATTTTGTTTAGTGCTATTATTATTATTGTTATTATTATTGTTATTATTATTATTATTATTATTTCCTTTGATTTCTGGTGTGTACACATTTCTTTCCGGGTCCCGCCCAGAGCCCTAAAGTCAGAAATGGCATCAAGACATTTTCTACTGACAATTACAAAACAAAAACATATTTTACATAGATAAAGCCCTTCGTAAATTGTTCTCACGAGTACATCGTGAGAACAATTTTTTGTATTTCTTTAAGGCATGGGCTTTCAGGAATCGCTTCAATCAGTCTACTGAAATCTTTTCCAACCAATCCGAGAGCTCCAACTATAACAGGGACTGTTGATGTTCCGATGACCGACATTATTATTATTATTATTATTATTATTATTATTATTATTATTTGTGTATGTTATGCTTCCTGCTTCATATCCTGTAGAGCCGGTTCCAAACAATGGTCTTAGGCTCTATAGGAGAATTATCATTTAATTGATAGCACTTTTCTTAGTATATGGGATGTTCCTAATAGGGCGATCTTCTGGGCAACTTTTATGTTGATGTTACCTGGGACACTGTTAGTAAAATTGTCCATTCTTTTCTTTTTGTTTATTATTATTATTATTTTCTTTGATTTCTGGCGTTTACACATTTCTTTCCGAGTCCCGCCCAGGGACCTAAGGTTAGAAATGGCATCATGACACTTTCCACTGACAAAAAAAAAAAATTAAAAAAAAATTAAATTATATAGATAAAGCCCTTCGTAAAGTGTGGGCTGTACTTGTCAGAAAAATTTTTTGTATCTCCTTGAGGCATGGACTTCCAGGAATCCCTTCAATTAGTCTTCTGCAATCTTTTCCAACCAGTGCTAGGGCTCCAACTACAACAAGGATTGTTGATGTTCCCATATGCCACATTTTCGAGATTTCTATTTCAAGGTCCTTGTATTTTGACAGCTTTTTGAATATCTTCAAAGATACATTGCAGTCAGCAGGGACTGCCATATCAACAAGGAGGCACCGTTTTTGTTTGTGGTCTTTAATAACAATATCTGGGCGGTTGGCTTTGATTGTTCTGTCAGTGTGTATTGTGTAGTCCCATAGAATTGTAAAAGGTCCTATCTCCGTAACCGGGTCTGGGTGGTGTTCATACCAGTTTCTTTCAGTTTCTTCCCGTAGAAGTTGCAGATTTTCCAGTGCAGATATTGGTCCACTCTGTCATGCCGGGTTTTATATTCAGTGGGTACCAATATCGTGCAACCTGATACAAGATGATCAATCGTTTCTGGATATTTATCACAGAATCTGAATTTTGGGCTGACACAATATTTTAGTATGTGTGCTTGATAATTCCTAGTTAGCAAGCATTGGTCCTGTGCAGCAAGGATAAAATCTTCAGTTTCAGCTTTCAACCCTGCACTACGTAGCCACTGATGGGTACGAGTTTTGTCTACGTCAGCTTGTTTGGTACGGGCAGAGTATTGGCCATGAATCGGTTTATCTTGCCATCGCTTCTGTATCTGCTCGGTTGCATTCGTCTTTGCTGTCTTTTTTAAATATTTTGCAGTTTCAGCCGGTGTATTGTGCTGTAGTTGCATCTCTACGCCCATTTGAAACTCCATTTTGAATTTGTTGGCTTCTTTTATTACGGAGTAAAGACGCTTACTACTTTCATGTTCCTTGACGCGTACCATCATCCAGTCTTCTGTAGTTTCCAAGTATCTTTGGAGGCCAATTGTTGTAGTTTTGTAGGACAGTTCTAGTTGAAGTAATCCTCTGCCTCCTTCGGATCTGGGCACATACAGACGATCAACATCAGCTTTGGGATGATGCATGCGATAGCAAGTGAGAAGCTTTCTCGTTTTGGCATCCATTCGCTTAATTTCAGCTATGGTCCAGTTAAGAACATAAAAGCTGTATTGCACCACAGGGACAGCCAATGTGTTTATGGCTAATATCCTGTTTTTTGAGTTTAGCTCAGTATTTAGTACCAGACGTACACGCCTGTAGTACTCTTTTTTTATTTTTCTTTCATTTGGGGGTGTTGTATGTGTTACAGTTTTTTGTGTATATATACATGTAACTAGTGAGTTAGTCAAAATGAATTAACTCCCTTTATAGTCTACCAATAGAAGGTTAACCAATCAAAAGCCGCAGAACATTCTATCCGTCGTGTATAAAGGCGGCCATTTTTGTTTACCCTACCCGAATGACCAGTGCCAATTTGTCCGGCGAAGATGACAGAAGGAAGTACTACGCTCTGCTACTTTGCTGCGATATCCACTGCTAACCTGAACTACGCTTTCCTACTGTCTCCGAAATATTCACTGCTAACCTCTGGATTCTATACTCGAAGACGACCGTCAAAATGTCTAACAGTATGCCATCTCCTTCGCTAATTCCTAGGTACTTATAAGCTTCATCATGCTCCAGTTCCCTAATCTTTGTGACAAAATCTAAATCTATTAAGGGTGTTTCTGTAATTCTACCTTTCTTGAATGTTACTTTTTATTATTATTATTATTATTATTCTCCCCCGCTTCCCCTTTTTCTTTATCCTCTTCTTCATTTTCTACTTCTTCATCTTATTCGCCATCATATTCTTCTTCCCATTATTATTATTATTATTATTATTAATATTATTATATAAATATCTGTAAATATAAAAGTAGACACCGAGGTCAACATAGAGCAGTGACATGCTGTAATAATAATGTTTAAAGTGATATATATATATATATATATATATATATATATATATATATATATTATTTACATTATTTGGACATTTATCACAACGTTTCGGCTGTTGTACACCCATGCATCTTCAGGTAGTTGGAATGTCGAACTGAACACTTTATTTCGCTCACCGGGGTAGACTGTTCTAATTCCACGTGCCATGTTTGATGGATGTCAGTTATCAGTTATCTCCTGCTTATTTTCCCTCTGAAAGTTCTCCACTGCATTAACCGAGTATTGAACTCACACTTTGGCTCCTGTCACTGGATCTAACCAACGCCTTATCCACTGTGCCTATATATATATATATATATATATATATATATATATATATATATATATATATATATATATATATATATATATATATATATATATATATATATATATATATATATATATATATATATATATATATTATATATATATATTTGAACAATAAAAAATAAAATCTTTAGACACATTGGGTTGTAGAGTAATATTCTTTCGTTTTTTATTATTACTTCATTTAGATTCTCGACTAGTTTCGCCCAAAATGGCCATTATCGGGAGGAGAAATATTTTTGCTTGCTGGAGAAAATGAAGTTTTGTCTGTAGTTTTCATTTGTTTTGTTTTTTTTAATCTTTTTTAGCATGAATCTTTTAACATTTCTTGTGTTGGTCAAACAGTCTCTTTTAAGTTCTTATTTGAGATAAGAGCTGATGGATCTATGCTGCTCTAAATTCCCCTGGTCAGTTTGACAGCTTTATTGGACCTGGATTATACAGTTACAGTTGATACAGTTTATATATATATATATATATATATATATATATATATATATATATATACAGTTTGTATATATATATATATATATATATATACATACAAACTGTATTAAAGTTATATCCCTTGCACTAGTGACGTCACTATCTTTCTTGATAACAATGCCGGGTTGTTCAAAGATGATTGCGAATCTTGATGATGAACACGTTGATTCAGTGAAAGAAAAGAGTTGAAAACCAACTATAACTTGTAAAAATTACGTTTAAAACTAATAAAGATAAGTGTTTAATATTCTTAAAAAAATGTCAATCATATTCTAAAAAGAATGTCATTTTTTTGTGTAAACTTTTGTCAATATCCTATTCTACCGTTCATAAAGACGAAAGTTGTTCTAATCCTTCATTTTCTATGAGAAAATAGAAGTATTTCTATAGAAAGTTGATGGTGTCATATTTGTTCATCTCAGAGGTTTACTGTTCCTCCATGACAATGCCAGTCCTTATGTGGTACGTGTTGTTAGGGATAACATATGCTGCTACTATATTACGATATCTACCGAGGTTTATGACATTTTAGGATAATATTTACCAAACCTATATTTAAAAACTGTAATGTAAAAAGAATCCTTGCCGTTTTTTACGTCGTGTAGGAAGAAGTAATCACTGATACGCTTGTCGGGAAAGCGGTAGGGGTGGGGTAGAGACGTTGCTTTTGATCAATGCAGTAACATTGCGTACAAACAGTTCGAGCAGCGGCGAAGAATCATGACGGTGTCAAAGCAGCTCGTTCAGGGTTGTCCGCAGCCACACCAAGTCGCCGAATACGTCAAGTCTTTGGGGATAATATCGAGAGTGAATGCACCGACAGGCATTGGTTCCAGAAGTTCAGAACGGTAGATGTGTCCATTTGTGATGAACCCTGCACTGGACGGACACAGGTCTTGTGTGAGGAAGCTCTGAAGGCGGCCATGGTGGAGGTCGACAACCAAACCCATGGTGTGCTTACCGAACGCTTCCAGGTCTCTTATGAAACAGACAGACTTCACCTGCACCGCATAGAGAAGGTGTGCAAGTTGGGCAAGTGGGTACCCCGAATACTGTCGGAAGTCAACAAGCAACAACGAATGACAGTCTGTGTCTTATTGCTTCATCGGCACCACAACATATCCATATTTGATCATATGCGCACCAGTGACGAAAAGTGGGACCTGTATAATACTCCCAAACGCGCTAGACATTGGTTATCACCATGGGACCCTGTGTCTCACACCACAAGACCACCTCTACACTCACAGAAGATCAATATCTGGTGGACTAGTCAACAAGTGGTGCACTTAGTGCTGTTACCAACGGGACAAACCATTACTGCAAACCTGAACTCGCAACAATTGGAATGTGTGCAACAGGCATTGAAGTAGAAGGTGTCATATTTGTTAATCTCAGAGGTCTACTGTTCCTCCATGTCAGTCCTCATGTGGTACGTGTTGTTAGGGATAACATATAGCGACTTGCTTGGGAGACACCTTATTCGCCAGACGTTGTGACAACAGACTACTAACTTTTCCATTCCCTGGTTTTTGGTAAATCCTTCTCAAATGAAGTAGACTTACGGTAGTTACTCACAGATTTCTTTGCGTCCAAGATACCTGATTTGTACCGCCAAGACATTGCACAGCTGGGGGAACGTTGGAACGTGGTTATGGATAAACATGGGGGTTACTTTGGGGACTAACGGTATGTCAGATTATTCAATATTCCCTTTTTTTTTAATAAATAAAAAACGGCAAGGAATTTTTCTGTTAATTTGTAGTACGGATATAACAAATATGGTACTGACATAAGATTATACTTGACATAACGTGGGGGATCATTTTCTAATTGTTATTATGTAATAAACAATTACTAACTGGAAAACATATTTGAAGACTCGCATGTGAAAACCTAATAATAGTAAAGACTTAACACAATGGGTAAAAAGTAAAATTAATATAAGATTCAACTGGACATAAAGGGGACATCATTTTTCTATTGTTTTCTATAATAAACTGATCCTTTATAGAATTACTATCTGTTAAAAACTAATAGTTTCCTTCTTACTTCTATTTGACTTTCTTACACTACATTCCATTTTCATTTTCTTTTTTCTTACTGTGACTTTCTTTCTTTCTTTAAGGTTTTTTACTTCACAATTTTTTATCATTCATTTTCCCTTCTCCTATATTGATAAAATAAACTCAGAAACATATTTAAAGATTTACATGTAAAAACACTTTTAGTAATAGAAAGTGTAGAGGCCTGTCACCATTATGAAATGGTGATGCTACATCTATATATCATTAATTAGGAAAGGCGTGGAAAAGGACAATGCGTGATGACTAATTCAAATTAGGAGATGGGATGATCGGCCCGTGATTCACAGGGACAATTTGAAAAGGAACAAAATCCTATTGGAATATATACAGTCATCAATGGGAACTTTCCGTAATCCTAAACATTATTATCGTATCCAGTACCTAGATATAAGCGTTGTAATTTTGGTTCTACAGAAGCAAACATTGAACATTGCTGCCATATCTGGTCTGGTGCTCCTACTATATCTCACGAAATCCTTAACAAAATCCAAAGAGATCTGTCATATAATCGATCCTGACCTAGCATCTCGGCTTCAGTCACATTCTCATTAACGTGACATAGTTTCTTATGTCCTATCTACAGATATTTTCAGGGAAATAGTTCTGATGAAATTTCCTCGTTGGTGCCTCGACCGCGCGAATTTAAGCAGGCTACGAGATTAGCAATTAAGACACAACGTTTTATTGTTGGACTATCTTGATGCTGCAGTATATTTTATTCTAATAGTTTCTTTCCTCGCATTTGTCGATCGTGGAACTCACTTCCGAGATCTTGCTTCATCGCCACCTACAATCTTCAGAAATCTAAATGCAACACCATTGCATTGTCCTTTCCCCTCACTAAAGTCTAATCATTCTTCCGCTCTCAGTAATCTCTTGCATCCTGGTGGCATTATAGCCTTGTTTGGGGTGAAATGATTAAATAAAATGAAGTGACCTGTTGCTCACGGTCCCCATGACTATCAAAAATGATGTAAAGTTGGTGAGTTTCACGTAGCATCACTTATCGTTTCACCTGCTCACCGTGCCACATTATAGAAGCCGGCTATCAACGAGTCGCTGTGGTTGCCGACTGGTGTTATTCTTGGGAAAAACGATGACCTGTTTATTGTTCGTTTAGAAGGAACAGAAGAAGTAATAGAAGAAGTCCAAAATAGATGAAGAAGTATTGAAGAAGAAGAAATCGAAGAAACAGTAATAGAAGGAAATAGAAGAAGAAGAATAGGAGAAGAAATAAGAGAAATAGATGAAGAAATAGAAATTGAAGAAGAAGAAAAATCGAAGAAAAGAAGTAGAAATAGTAATAGAAGGAAATAGAAGAAGTAATAGGAGAAGAAATAAGAGAAATAGATGAAGAAGAATTTGAAGAAGAAGAAAATTTGAAAAGAAGAAGAAATAGAAATAGAAGAACAGAAGAAGTAAGAGAAGAAGAAATAAGAGAAATAGATGAAGAAGAAGAAGAAGAAAAAATAGAAGAAAAAGAAGAAGAAATAGAAGAAAAAGGAACAGAAGAAAGAAATAGAAGAAGAAATAAGAGAAATAGATGAAGAAGAATTTGAAGAAGAAGAAATCAAAAGAAGAGAAATAGTAATAGAAGGAACAGAAGAAGTAATAGAAGAAATAAGAGAAATAGATGAAGAAGTATTTGGAGAAGAAGAAAAAAGAAGAAGAAAGGAACAGAAGAAGTAATAGAAAAGAAGAAGATGAAGAAGTATTTGAAGAAGAAGAAATAAGAAAAAGAAATAGTAATAGAAGGAACAGAAGAAGTAATAGAAGAAGAAATAAGAGAAATAGATGAAGAAGAATTTGCAGAAGAAGAAATCGAAGAAAAAGAAGAAGAAATAGTAATAGAAGGAACAGAAGAAGTAATAGAAGAAGAAATAAGAGAAATAGATGAAGAAGAATTTGCAGAAGAAGAAAAGAAGAAGAAATAAAGAAGGAACAGAAAAGTAATAGGAGAAGAAATAAGAGAAATAGATGAAGAAGAATTTGCAGAAGAAGAAATCGAAGAAAAAAGAAAAAAGTAATAGAAGGAACAGAAGAAGTAATAGAAGAAGAAATAAGAGAAATAGATGAAGAAGAATTTGAAGAAGAAGAAATCGAAGAAAAAGAAGAAGAAATAGTAATAGAAGGAACAGAAGAAGTAATAGAAGAAATAAGAGAAATAGATGAAGAAGAATTTGCAGAAGAAGAAATCGAATAAAAAGAAGAAAGTAGAAAGAAGAACAGAAGAAGTAATAGAAGAAATAAGAGAAATAGATGAAGAAGAAAGAAGAAATCGAAGAAAAAGAAGAAGAAATAGTAATAGAAGGAAAGAAGAAGAAAGATGAAGAAGTATTTGAAGAAGAAGAAATAGAAGGAAAAGAAGAAGAAGAAGAAATAAGAGAAATAGATGAAGAAGAAGAAGAAGAAAAAGAAGAAGAAAAAAAGAAGAAAAATAGAAATAGAAGGAAAAAGAAGAAGAAGTAATAGAAGAAGAAAAGTAATAGAAGAAAATAAGAAAATAGATGAAGAAGAATTTGAAGAAGAAGAAATCGAAAAAAGAAAAGAAATAGTAATAGAAGGAAAAGAAGAAGAAGTAATAGAAGGAATTTGAAGAAGAAGAAAAGAAGAAGAAATGAAGAAGAAATAAGAAGAAGAAAAGAAGAAGAAGAAATCGAAGAAATAGTAATAGAAGGAACAGAAGAAGTAATAGGGAGAAGAAATAAGAGAAATAGATGAAGAAGAATTTGAAGAAGAAGAAATCGATGAAAAGAAGAAGAAATAGAAGAAGAAGAAGTAATAGAAGAAGAAGAGAATAGAAAGAAGAAAGAAGAAGAAATAAGAAAAGAAGAAGAAATTAATAGAAGGAAGAAGAAGAAATCGAAGAAAAGAAGAAGAAATAGAAGAAGAAATCGAAGAAAAGAAGAAAAAGAAGAAGGAAACAGAAGAAGTAATAGAAGAAGAAATAAGAGAAATAGATGAAGAAGAATTTGAAAGAAGAAGAAGAAGAAATAAGAAAAAGAAGAAGAAGAAGAAGTAGATGAAGACAGAAGAAGAAATCGAAGAAGAAAATAGAATAGAAACAGAAGAAATAAGAGAAATAGATGAAGAAGAATTTGAAGAAGAAGAAAATAGTAATAGAAGGAAGAAAAAGAAGAAGAAATAGTAAAGAAGAAATAGAAGGAATAGAAGGAAGAAGAAGTAATAAAGAAGAAGAGAAATAGATGAAGAAGAATTTGAAGAAGAAGAAATTGAAGAAAAGAAGAAGAAAATAGAAAAAGAAGAAGAAATAGAAATAAAAGAAACAGAAGAAGTAATAGAAGAAGAAGAAAAATGAAATAGAAGAAGAAGAATTTGAAGAAGAAGAAATCGAAGAAAAAAGAAGAAGAAGAAATAGTAATAGAAGGAAACAGAAGAAGAAGAAGAAATAAGAGAGAAATAAAGAAGAAGAAGAAGAAGAAATCGAAGAAAAAGAAGAAGAAATAGTAATAGAAGGAACAGAAGAAGTAATAGGAGAAGAAATAAGAGAAATAGATGAAGAAGTATTTGAAGAAGAAGAAATCGAAGAAAAAGAAGAAGAAATAGTAATAGAAGGAACAGAAGAAGTAATAGAAGAAATAAGAGAAATAGATGAAGAAGAAGAAGAAGAAATCGAAGAAAAAGAAGAAGAAACAGTAATAGAAGGAACAGAAGAAGTAATAGAAGAAATAAGAGAAATAGATGAAGAAGTATTTGAAGAAGAAGAAATGAAGAAAAGAAGAAGAAATAGAAGAAGAGAAGAAGTAATAGAAGAAGAAAGAAAATAGATGAAGAAGTATTTGAAGAAGAAGAAAAATAAGAAGAAAAGAAGAAGAGAAATAGTAAGAAGAAAACAGAAGAAGTAATAGAGAAGAAATAAGAGAAAGAAGAAGAAGAAATTGAAGAAAAGAAGAAGAAACAGTAATAGAAGGAAATAGAAGTAATAGGAAATAGAAGAAGTAAGAGAAATAGATGAAGACATTGCAGAAGAAGAAATCGAAGGAAAAGAAGAAGAAATAGTAATAGAAGGAACAGAAGAAGTAATAGAAGAAGTAAGAGAAATAGATGAAGACATTGCAGAAGAAGAAATCGAAGGAAAAGAAGAAGAAGTAATAGAAGAAAAAAAGAAGAAGTATTTGAAGAAGAAGAAATCGAAGAAAAAGAAGTAGAAATAGTAATAGAAGGAACAGAAGAAGTAATAGGAGAAGAAATAAGAGAAATAGATGAAGAAGAATTTGCAGAAGAAGAAATCGAAGAAAAAGTAATAGAAGGAAATAGAAGGAACAGAAGAAGTAATAGGAGAAGAAATAAGAGAAATAGATGAAGAAGAATTTGCAGAAGAAGAAATCGAAGAAAAGAAGAAGAAATAGTAATAGAAGGAACAGAAGAAGTAATAGAAGAAGTAAGAGAAATAGATGAAGACATTGCAGAAGAAGAAATCGAAGAAACAGTAATAGAAGGAACAGAAGAAGTAATAGGAGAAGAAATAAGAGAAATAGATGAAGAAGTATTTGAAGAAGAAGAAATCGAAGAAAAAGAAGAAGAAATAGTAATAGAAGGAACAGAAGAAGTAATAGGAGAAGAAATAAGAGAAATAGATGAAGAAGAATTTGCAGAAGAAGAAATCGAAGAAAACAGAAAAATAGTAGAAGAACAGAAGAAGAATAGGGAAGAAATAAGAGAAATAGATGAAGAAGAATTTGAAGAAGAAGAAATGAAGAAAAGAAGAAAAGTAATAGAAGGAACAGAAGAAGTAATAGAAGAAGTAAGAGAAATAGATGAAGACATTGCAGAAGAAGAAATCGAAGAAACAGTAATAGAAGGAACAGAAGAAGTAATAGGAGAAGAAATAAGAGAAATAGATGAAGAAGATTTAAGAAGAAGAAGAAGAAAAGAAGAAAAAAAGAAGGAAAGAAGAAGTAATAGGAGAAGAAATAAGAGAAATAGATGAAGAAGTATTTGAAGAAGAAGAAATCGAAGAAAAAGAAATGAAGAAACAGAATAGAAGAAATAGAAGAAATAGAAGAAGAAATAAGAGAAATAGATGAAGAAGAAGAAGAAATAGTAATAGAAGAAGAAGAAAGAAAAGTAAGAGAAATAGAAGAAAAGAAAGAAGAAGAAAAAGAAGTAGAAATAGTAATAGAAGGAACAGAAGAAGTAATAGGAGAAGAAATAAGAGAAATAGATGAAGAAGAGAAGAAGAAAAATGAAGAAGAAGAAAAATAGTAAAGAAGAAAAAGAAGAAGAAATAGTAGATAGAAGAAGAAATAGAAACAGAAGAAGGAAATAAAGAAGTAGGAGAAGAAATAAGAGAAATAGATGAAGAAGTATTTGAAGAAGAAGAAATCGAAGAAAAAGAAGAAGAAATAGTAATAGAAGGAACAGAAGAAGTAATAGAAGAAGTAAGAGAAATAGATGAAGACATTGCAGAAGAAGAAATCGAAGAAACAGTAATAGAAGGAACAGAAGAAGTAATAGGAGAAGAAATAAGAGAAATAGATGAAGAAGAATTTGAAGAAGAAGAAATCGAAGAAAAAGAAGAAGAAATAGTAATAGAAGGAACAGAAGAAGTAATAGAAGAAGTAAGAGAAATAGAAGAAGAAGAAATCGAAGAAACAGTAATAGAAGGAACAGAAGAAGTAATAGGAGAAGAAATAAGAGAAATAGATGAAGAAGTATTTGAAGAAGAAGAAATCGAAGAAAAAGAAGTAGAAATAGTAATAGAAGGAACAGAAGAAGTAATAGGAGAAGAAATAAGAGAAATAGATGAAACAGTAATAGAAGGAAATGAAGAAATAGAGAAAAAGAAGAAGAAGAAATAGAAGAAAAAGAAAAGAAAGAAGTAAAAGAAGAAGAAATGGAAAAAGAAGAAGAAATAGAATAGAAGAAAGAGAAGAAGAAGAAAATAAGAGAAATAAGAAGAAGATTTTGAAGAAGAAGAAATGAAGAAAAGAAGAAGAAATAATAGAAGGAACAGAAGAAGTAATAGGAGAAGTAAGAGAAATAGATGAAGAAGTAGCAGAAGAAGAAATCGAAGGAAAAGAAGAAGAAATAGTAATAGAAGGAACAGAAGAAGTAATAGAAGAAGTAAGAGAAATAGATGAAGAAAGAAGAAAAAGAAGAAAATAGAAGAAGGAAATAGAAGAAAAAGAAAGAAGAAAATAGATGAAGAAGTTAGAAGAAGAAAAAGAAACAGAAAGAAGTAATAGGAGAAGAAATAAGAGAAATAGATGAAGAAGTATTTGAAGAAGAAGAAATCGAAGAAAAAGAAGAAGAAATAGTAATAGAAGGAACAGAAGAAGTAATAGGAGAAGAAATAAGAGAAATAGATGAAGAAGTATTTGAAGAAGAAGAAATCGAAGAAAAAGAAGAAGAAATAGTAATAGAAGAAGAAGAAATAGAGAAGAAATAAGAGAAATAGATGAAGAAGTATTTGAAGAAGAAGAAATGAAAAAAGAAGAAGAAATAGAATAGAAGAAGAAATAAGAGAAATAGATGAAGAAGAGAAGAAGAAGAAGAAAAGAAAGAAGAAACAGAAGAAGAAATAGTAATAGAAGGAAATAGAAGAAATAGAAGAAGAAATAAGAGAAAGAAGAAGAAGAAGAATAAGAAATAAGAAGAAATTTGAAGAAAAGAAGAAAAACAGTAATAGAAGGAACAGAAGAAGTAATAGAAGAAAAATAAGAGAAATAGATGAAGAAGTATTTGAAGAAGAAGAAATGAAGAAAAGAAGAAGAAATAGAAATAGAAGGAAAGAAGAAGAATAGAAGAAGAAATAAGAGAAATAGATGAAGAAGTATTTGAAGAAGAAGAAATGAAGAAAAGAAGAAGAAATAGTAATAGAAGGAACAGAAGAAGTAATAGGGAAAGAAAAAGAGAAATAGATGAAGAAGAATTTGAAGAAGAAGAAATAAGAAAAGAAGAAGAAATAGTAATAGAAGGAAAGAAGAAGTAATAGAAGAAATAAGAGAAATAGAAAGAAGAAGAAGAAGAAGAAATCGATGAAGAAGAAAATATAATAGAAGAAGGAACAGAAGAAGTAATAGAAAGAAAAATAGATGAAGAAGAAGAAGAAGAAATAGAAAAACAGAAGAAGAAATAGAAGAAGTAATAGGAGAAGAAATAAGAGAAATAGATGAAGAAGTATTTGAAGAAGAAGAAATCGAAGAAACAGTAATAGAAGGAACAGAAGAAGTAATAGGAGAAGAAATAAGAGAAATAGATGAAGAAGTATTTGAAGAAGAAGAAAAAAGAAGAAAAGAAAGAAGAAGAAATAGAAAGAAATAAGAGAAATAGAAGAAGAAGATTTAGAAGAAGAAATAAAAGAGAAGAACAGAAGAAGAAGTAAGAAATTAAATAGATGAAGAAGAAAGAAGAAGAAATGAAGAAAAAAGAAAGAAATAGTAATAGAAGGAACAGAAGAAGTAATAGGAAAGAAATAAGAGAAATAGATGAAGAAGTATTTGAAGAAGAAGAAATCGAAGAAAAAGAAGAAGAAATAGAAGAAGGAAAAAGAAGAAAGAGAAGAAATAGAGAAATAGAAGAAGACAAATAGAAGAAGAACTGAAGAAAAAGAAGAAATAGAAAGAAGGAACAGAAGAAGAAGGAGAAGAAATAAGAGAAATAGATGAAGAAGAAGAAGAAAAATAAGAAAAGAAATAGTAATAGAAGGAACAGAAGAAGTAATAGAAGAAATAAGAGAAATAGATGAAGACATTGCAGAAGAAGAAATCGAAGAAAAAGAAGAAGAAACAGTAATAGAAGGAACAGAAGGAGTAATAGGAGAAGAAATAAGAGAAATAGATGAAGAAGTATTTGAAGAAGAAGAAATCGAAGAAAAAGAATAGAAGAAACAGAAAGAAGGAAACAGAAATAAGTAATAGAGAAGAAATAAGAGAAATAGATGAAGAAGTATTTGAAATAGATGAAGAAGAAACTGAAGAAAAGAAGAAGAAATAGTAATAGAAGGAACAGAAGAAGTAATAGAAGAAGTAAGAGAAATAGATGAAGAAGAAAAAGAAGAAGAAAATGAAGTAAAAAATAGTAAAGAGAAGGAAAGAAGTAGAAGAAGTAAAGAGGAGAAGAAATAAGAGAAAATAAGAGAAATAGATGAAGATGAAAATAGTAATAATAGAAGCACACCCACATTTTATCTTCACTTCAGCGTAGTCTTTCGCGCTTCTTATTTCTGATGTTATTATGGATTTTGAAACTGAATTCCCGTAAATAGTAATAATAGAAGCACACACACATTTTATCTTCACTTCAGCGTAGTCTTTCGCGATTCTTATTTCTGATGTTATTGATGGATTGAAACCTGAATTCCATTTTATCGTAAATAGTAATAATAGAAGCAATACAAACACATTTTATCTTCACTTCAGCGTAGTCTTTCGCTCTTCTTATTGTTATTATCGATTATGAAACTGAATTCCCGTAAATAGTAATAATAGAAGCACACACACATTTTATCTTCACTTCAGCGTAGTCTTCGCGATTCTTATTTCTGATGTTATTATGGATTATGAAACTGAATTCCGTAAATAGTAATAATAGCGTAGTCTTTTCCACATGTTATTATCATTATGAAACTGATTTTATCTTCACTTTTATCTTCAGCGTAGTCTTTCGCGCTTCTTATTTCTGATGTTATTATCGATTTTGAAACTGAATTCATGTAAATAATAATAATCGAAGCACACACACATTTTATCTTCATTTCAGCGTAGTCTTTCGCGCTTCTTATTTCTGATGTTATTATTGATTATGAAACTGAATTCCCGTAAATAGTAATAATAGAAATAGTACACACACATTTTATCTTCACTTCAGCGTAGTCTTTCGCGCTTCTTATTTCTGATGTTATTATCGATTATGAAACTGAATTCCCGTAAATAGTAATAATAGAAGTCACACACATTTTATCTTCACATTTTATCAGCGTAGTCTTTCGCTCTTTCTTATTTTATGATGTTATTATGGATTATGAAACTGAATTCCCGTAAATAGTAATAATAGAAGCACACCACATTTTATCTTCACTCCAGCGTAGTCTTTCGCGCTTCTTATTTCTGATGTTATTATCGATTATGAAACTGAATTCCCGTAAATAGTAATAATAGAAGCACACACACATTTTATCTTCACTTCCAGCGTAGTCTTTCGCGCTTCTTATTTCTGATGTTATTATCGATTATGAAACTGAATTCCCGTAAATAGTAATAATAGAAGCACACACACATTTTATCTTCACTTCAGCGTAGTCTTTCGCGCTTCTTATTTTTGATGTTATTATCGATTATGAAACTGAATTCCCGTAAATAGTAATAATAGAAGCACACACACATTTTATCTTCACTCCAGCGTAGTCTTTCGCGCTTCTTATTTCTGATGTTATTATCGATTATGAAACTGAATTCCCGTAA